TGATCAAATGCAAACAGTGTTGGAGAAAAAAACAAGGTGTAAATGCAATGATTATGGAAGTTGAGAGCATTTCAACAGAAATAAATGCAGTATGGTGCAAATATGCAGTATTTTGGTTTGGTGTGCTCACTGTGATGCAGTCTGTGACTTGATTTAGAGTGTTTTTTTTTTTTTTATGGATGGAATTTTTAAGATGGCAGCGGGGAAAAAGCTGTTACAGAATCTGATGAACAAGCAGTTGATGCTGTGAAGCCTCTTCCCACAGGGCAGCAGGAAAGAGGCTTTGCAGCATCCGCCGCAGGCTACTGCAAAACATTAATAATACCTACTTTAATTACTGTGGTATCAACAGAAAAGTAGCCTTACCTAAAGAAGGACATGGTTATATGATGTTCTATTGTAGTTAAATGAACCTTTTTATCATTTCTGTGGAGTGAACATCGGGATTGGAAAGTATTTTCTTTAGTTGAAAATATACAAATACTGACAAATCCATTCTAGGATTTAAGAGAGAATTTCATTTAGTCACTTCAAAAACATCTTCTTGAATAACTGAAATAATGATCTTAAAACAAACAAAAAAAACTGCAGGTTATATTTATTGCACTTCCCCAACATGCTTTTCAGTTTCTTGCCAGGAGGAGGCACTGGAGATCACACTTTTACATTCAGCATTTTTTTCAGAAACATCTGTGTAGTTAACGCCATCCCTACCAGAACAGTGAAATACTTTCTAGATAATAAACCTTGGATCACAAGTTATCTGCTGAACAACAAACGAAACTGCTCAACTATAAAAAACAAGCTTTTAAAAAGAGAGACGCGGAATTAATGAAGAGTGAAGGTCAAGATAAGAGAAAGCAGAGAGGCATACAGGAAGAGGGTAGAAAACAAGCTCCAGCAGAACAATATTAGATTGTTTGATGATCAGACAGATGGAAGTCTGGACAGAGCCAATAAGCTGAATACATTATTCAGGAGGTCCAGTTCACATGGACACCCCGCCCTCCTCTGCCATTGACTCTCCTGCTTCTGTTAGTTTATCAGCCAAATCAGAAGACGGTGCTGCTCCCTCCACCTTTTACATAGCTGTCTCTAAAAATAAATCGGCAACTGACTATAAGTCACCAGCTCCTGATGGTGTCAGCCCCAGAGTCCTGAAGGTCTGTGCAGAGCAGCTCTGGGGGGTTCTACAGCACCTCTTAAACCTTAGTCTGAGCCTGGAGACTGTTCCAGTGATGTGGAAGACCTCCTGCCTTGTTCCAGTTCCAAAGAAGACTCAGCCAGCAGTCCTCAGTGACCATAGACCTGTTGCCCTGACATGCCACATCATGAAGGTCCTAGAGAGACTTCCATTGGTTTCATCTCAGCAAGCAAACAAGCAGCTCTCAGGACCTGCAGAAGTTTGCTTANTCTTTTATACATTTCTAAATATTCTGTTTGTAAATTTTAGCCTTTTATTTTGATGTTAGGATCTCTTAGAAATATATCATATTGAACTTTTCCAGCCTGTAGCAAAAAGCTTCCTTCAGATAGAAAAAACAAAGGAAAGATTCTTCAGAAAGGAGAATGAAGCTCCAACAATGCTGTGGATTCACATGACCCACGTTTTGACTTTAAATAAATTGGGAGATGCATTACATTCTGTATGAAAGTGTCAATTACCTGAACATGTTTTTTATTTCACTGCAACAATAGAACTTCTCTCTTCTCTTTTTTCTGAAGTGTTTTTCTGCTTAAAGAAAGTTATTCAATTCTGATTTTTTATACCTCTAGGTAAAGCATATTGACAATGTCTATTATTTTGAATGAACATTATTGAAGATTTTGTTAAAATTGAATTCTTTGGTCGCTTTATGTCATCTTAACTTTATTACAACTGTAAATAAAAAGAGTTTAATCAAATCTTAAAGTAGCACACGCGTCTTCTATTGGGAGGCTTTAAGGAAAATGCTTGATTTTCTGCATTTTCCAGTAGGTTTTGCACCTGTCCAAACTTTTGTTGTCATTTGGTATACACAAAGTGTATACAAAACAAAATTTTGTTTTGTACACCTTTCAGACAGTAATGAGCAGCAGCTTAGCAGTACTATGAACATTTCCATTTCATAAAGTGCAGCAGTGATCAAATGCAAACAGTGTGGGAGAAAAAAACATGTGTAAACTCAAAGATTATGAAAGTTGAGAGCATTTCAACAAAAATATATCCAGTATGGTGCAAATATGCAGTATTTTGGTGTGCTCAGTTTGATTTAGTCTGTGACTTGATTTAGAGTTTTATTTAATTATTTTTTATGAACAGTTCAGAAGTCAGATGGCAGTGGGGAAAAAACTGTTACAGAATCTGATGAACCAGCAGTTGATGCTGTGAAGCCTCTTCCCACAGGTCAGCAGGAAAGAGGATTTGCAGCACCCGCCGTAGGTTACTGCCAAACAGTAAGAATACCTACTTTAATTACTGTGGTATCAACAGAAAAGTAGCCTTACCTAAAGCAGGACATGGTTATATGATGTTCTACTGTAGTTAAATAAACCTTTTTATAATTTCTGTGGAGTGAACATCGGGATTGGAAAATATTTTCTTTAGTTGAAAATATGCAAATACTGACAAATCCATTCTGGGATTTAAGAGAGAATATTTTATTAATTCACTTCAAAAATATCTTCTTGAATTATTGGAATAATGATCTCAACCCAAACAAAAAACACTACAGGTTATATTTATTGCACTTGCCCAACATGCTTTTCAGTTTCTTGCCATGAGGAGGCACTGGCGATCACACTTTTACATTTATGCATTTTTTTTAGAAACATCTGTGTAGTTAACGCCATCCCTACCAGAACATTAAAATACTTTCTAGATAAGAAACCTTGTATCACAAGTGATCTGCTGAACAAAAAGCGAAACTGCTCAACAACAAAAAACAAGCCTTTAAGAAGAGAGACGAGGAATTAATGAGGAGTGAAGGTCAAGCTAAGAGAAAGCAAAGAGGCATACAGGAAGAGGGTAGAAAACAAGCTCCAGCAGAACAATATCAGATTGTTTGATGGTCAGACAGATGGAAGTCTGGACAGAGCCAATAAGCTGGATAGATTATTCAGGAGGTTCAGTTCAGGAAGAAGCGCAGCATCTATCTCTCCTGCCAACAGTCACATGGACACCCCGCCCTCCTCTGCCATTGACTCTCCTGCTTCTTTTAGTTTATCAGCCAAATCAGAAGAGGGTGCTGCTCCCTCCACCTTTCACATAGCAGTCTCCAAAAATAAATTGAATCGGCAACTAACTATAAGTCACCAGCTCCTGATGGTGTCAGCCCCAGAGTCCTGAAGGTCTGTGCCAAGCAGCTCTGTGGGATTCTACAGCACCTCAACCTTAGTCTGAGCCTGGAGACTGTTCCAGGCTCAGACTAAGCAAGCATGATCCATACCATCAGCTCATTTGCAACCAGATATACATCCAGCATTTACATAAATAATCTAATTATGGTACTAAAATTACTTATTTCTATCCTTAACTCACAAAAGAATGCTAATACACATCTTTTAAAAAAAAAAAGATGACTTCTCTGCGACAAATTTGATGCTTTTTACATTTTCTCAGTTAAACTGCTTGTGTGAGGTCATCATTGGACATGCTCAGAGTAGTCCGGCAAAACATGATTAAACCATGTTTATCGACATTTTAGTCGCATCTTTCTTAGGTTACACACTATATACCATACTCAGACAGCCTGGATTTATGTTTAAATCCAGTGACAAAAAAGGTAGCTCTCGGAATTTGCGTAGGATCCCATTTCCGGTACAGATCTGGCACAGACGACTGATAAAACATAAAGGATTTCAAGGCATTTATTTTCTCAGGAAATACATTATAAACCTTTACCACATTATATTTTATTACGCTCCCAATTTTAAAGNTCCTTGGCAGGTGCTGCCTCCGTTGGATGTGCGGTGTCACAAGCGCCTTCCCCAGCTCCTCGAGAAAGATGCGCCTCTTGCTTTGACACATTCCAGTCAGGAAATATCGCCATCCAGATTATCAATGCATTGTCGGCTGATACAATGATGAAGTTATAAAAGATGACCAATGGCCAGCTCGCAATCATCCGTTTGGTGCTGTAGGACCCTGTCACTTTGTCTAAGTTGTCTACCCCCCTTCGGTGGCATTGTAATCAAGGATCACGCTTGGATTCTGTTCCTCTCTTTTGCTGATTTCAGCATTTTTGTGCAGAGTGCTCATGAGCACAATATTTTTTGCCTTTTTGGGGCAGTAAGACACTAGGGCAGTGGGGTCTCTGAAGGCAAACAATCTCCCAAACATGGGAGATTGAGGGGCCTGGTCCTTGATTACCAGCAGCTCAGCAGGGAGTTCAGCCCTGTTCTTTCGGACAGTTCCAACCATTGTGAGCTTTCTCTTTAGAAGCTCCTGACCCAAGTTGTAGTTTGTAAAAAATTTGTCATCGATTATGTTCTGTCTCCTGAGACCCTGTGCCATGTCGAGCACGACTCTTGTGCCCTGATTCCTCTATGGGGCACTAAGGTGTGAATTGAGTTTAGGTTAGGTTTAGGGATAGGTATGTGTCGGTAATGGTTAGGGTTAGGGCAAGGGTCATGGTTAGGCCATATAAATTAGTGGGATATGAATTGGAAGTCAATGGAAGGTCCCCACAAGGATATTGTGACACAACATGTGTGTGTGTGTGTGTGTGTGACATTGGGGGGAAACATGTCTCACAGTTGCAAAGAAAGAAATAGTCTGACATTTCTGACACCCTATTACCTCCAGTTTGACTGCTGGGTCAAATTGACCCGAACAGTATCTATGTGATATAAACATGCAGGGGGTGGTTGCAAATATGTGAGATGAACCATTTTTATATTATAAGTTGATTACACTATTTTAGGCAAGCAGAAGAAGTTTCATCCTGAAAAAATACTTTTAACTATTTTTCCTAGATCTTCAAACTTTAAAACGGGTCAATTTGACCCGTAACATAACAGGAGGGTTAAAGGTCTCTTACCTTAAGTATACAATGAACATGGCAAAACAATAAAGCATGGTTTAATAATTATTTCATTGACTATATAATGATGCTGTCAA